GCCTTACGGGCGTCTTGGACGCCTCTCGTCGACTCGCGGCGTGATTGCCATGGGCCTCTTGAAGCCTCTGCAAGGCATCTTGGGGGCCCCTCGGCGTCTCTTCGGGGCCACTCGGGAGCTTCTGGGAGTTGATCGAAATCTTTGGGGGCCTCACGGGGGATCTCGGGGGCATGTTAGGAGCCACACCCTCCAAGATACTGCCCCACGACCCCTCTTGGCACCCTCGTCGGGCCCGCTTGGGCCTCTCGTAGGGCCCTCTTGGGGCTCTCTTGGGGCGTCTTGGGACCGTCTAGGCGCAGATGGATTGAACGGATCATGCATGTGGCTGCTGGCTGCAGGGACGCAAACGATATGATGAACGTGGTGGGAGAACACCTCAGGACAAGGGACCCTGGGCGCTCACCGCGTCCCGCAGCCAGGGGGCGTCCAGGACACCACGGCTTGAACCTTGAGCACTCCCCAAGCCCCCCCCCTTGACCGCGTCTCGCGGCCGGGGGGGCGCCTCGGGACACCACGGTTTCAACCTTGAAGCGCCTCCCCGGCACTTCCCCTTAACCGCGTCTCGCGGCCCAGGGGGGTCGGGTGCCTGGGGATACCCGAGGAGACACAAGAGAGAGACAGAGAGTGGAGGCGCGAGCGAAAACCAGGAGAACCAACCAACCTCCTCGCTCTGCGCTCCTCTGGAACGCCTTCTGGGCACCCCCACGTGACCACGTTTCGCGGCCGGGGGGGGCGCCTCGGGACATCACGGCTGCAACCTGGAACGCCCCCTGGGCACCCCACCTTGACCGCGTCTCGCGGCCAGTGGGGGGGCGCCTCAGGACACAGCGGGGGGAACATCCGAGGAGACGAGAGAGAGAGAGAGCGAGAGAGAGACAGAGAGTGGAGACTCGAGTGGAAACCATGAGAACCAACCAACCTCGTCGCTCCTCGCTCAGCGCTCCTCTGGAACGCCTCCCGGGCCCCCACCCTTGCCCTTGGCCTTGACCACGTCTCGCGGCCGGGGGGGCGCCTCGGGACACTGCGGCTTCGACCTTGAACGCCCCCCGGGACCACCCCTTGACCGCGTCTCGCGGCCAGGGGGGCGCCTCGAGACACCCTGGCAGGAGGCGAAATGACGTGGGCGACGGGACAGGCTACGGATGGCCCGCCCCATTGCCGGGCGACGTGCTATGAAAATTGCACGCCGCCCAAAACCAAGTTCCTCGGTCCTCGTCCCCGCAGGCTGGCGCGACGCTGAGCGCCCGCCAAGGCGAAGCAAACCCGACTGGACTGCAGGGTGGCGTGCTGTCCGCTAGCGGCTCGTACTGCCACGGTGCCTGGGTTGTGGGTCTGAGGCTTCTTGGATACCTGTGGGGTCTCCTGGCATGATTCTCGGGCGCCCCTTGGAGCCAAATTTGAAACCTCTTGGGGCCTCTTGGGGCCTCTTGGGGGTTGTTTGGGGACCTCTTGGGGCCTCTTTCGGGCCTCTTGGGTCCACTTGGGGCGGAGGGCTCGACATGTGGGCTGGAAATCCCCCTCTTGGGTCCCTCTTGGAGCCTTTTGGCAGTCTTGGGGTGATCTTCGGGGCCTCTTGGGCCGTCCAGGGCGCTGCGATGACCTAAAAAGCCGCTATGCTGAACATCTACATTTCCGAGAAGAGAATGGGGCAACTTTGGCCCTTGGCCATCCGGGGCCCTCTGGGAAGCATCTTGGAGACTTCTTGGAGCGTCTTGGAGGCCTCTTGGAAACTCTTCGGCCACCTTGAGGCCATCTCGGGGCGTCTTTGGCCCTATTGCACCGCTCTCGTCACTTATCCGTGTCCACTAGAAGGTGTTTGGGGCGGCCAGGGTGGCCAGGGGGAGGCCCAGGAGGCTCTGGAGGGGGGGGGTCCGCCCAGAAGGGGGGGGGGGAATCCGGGAGGAGGGTGTGCTGGCCCGGGGCCGGGCCCTGGTACTCCTGATCTATTCCCAGCATACCGAGCTGTCAGGTTAAACATTTAAACGAGCATAACAATAATAATCATAACTGCACTGGGCAGATTTCATATTCACATCGTAAGATAACGATGACGATGATGATGCTGATGATGATTCTGCTATTGATGGTGATGGTGATGGTGATGGTGATGATGATGGTGATGATGATGATGATGATGATGATGATGATGATGATGCTGCTGCTGCTGCTGCTGCTGATGCTGCTGCTGCTGAGGAGGAGGAGGAGGAGGAGGAGGAGGAGGAGGAGGAGGAGGAGGGAGGAGGAGGAGGAGGAGGAGGAGGAGGAGGAGGAGGAGGAGGAGAGGAGGAGGAGGAGGAGGAGAAGGAGGCGGAGGACGAGGAGGAGGAGGCCTGCCTTCGGGGGTTCGGGGGTCCTTGAGGCACAAATCATTGATTCCCCTGCAGTTGTTGGCGTTCTCGCGAGTTCGGCTTCCCGACGGGGCCTCCGGACGGCCCAAGAGGCCTCCAAGGCCGCCCCAGGACGGCCCGAGGGGCCCCCGAGAGGGCCCCAAGAGGGCCCAGAGGCGGCTCACGAGGCGCCCAGGGTGGTCCAAGAGGGCTCCAACACGTCCCAACGAGGGGCCCGAGAGGAGGGAACGCGAACCGACTAATCCCGAGCTTCCCGCCCCAAGAGGCCCCCAGGAGGCCCCAAGAGGCCCCCAGGAAGCCCTAAGAGCCCCCCTAAGAGGCGCGAAACGGCCTCCAGGAGGCTTCCAAAGCGCCTCCAAGATGCCCCGAGGAGGCCTCCCACGAGCTCCCAACGAAAATCCGATAGGCTTCATGCCCACAACCCAGGCGCCGTGGCGGGATGGGCCGAGGGCCATTCGATTGAAGAGCTCGGGGGCTGATCTCGCCATCGCTCGGACGTCCATTCCCCGTGCATTTTTCGGTGTCGTGCATGCTTCGGTTGCGCAAGATGGTCCGAAATGCTCCTCGACGGTCCTCGCCGAGAAAAAATGCACACGCCCGAGCGATGCCAAGTTATTACAGTCAACCCGTAATTATCATACGGATGCGCGGTAAGGATGCAAAGGCCTTGGAGGCCCATGTGAACGTGTTTCGAGCGAGGCTGGCCAGCGAAAGTGGCCAAGGATGGGCCGAAGGGGCAAGGATGCAAAGGGGTACCCTTGGGAAGGTTGCCCGTCCTTCTTGTGCGGGCTGGCTGCAGAAACCATCCTACAGCGCGTGGGGGGCTCTGAGACTCCCTCCCCCCGCCCCGCCTCCTGAGAGAAGGCCGCGCCACTCGCCTGGCCCCAGGCAAACCTCCGCTCCAAAATGGAGCCTCAGCCCGCCCCCCCCCCTGGCTGAAATCCTTCTTGGCCAGTTTCTTCGAGTACTCCAGATTTCGTAATGAGAGGGAGGGGGTCTGGACCCTCCAAGACAAGCCATTTCAGACCTCCCCCGTGGGAGAACCCTCCAAAACATCGTCCCCAGACCCCCCAGGCCCTCCAAGATAGCCTGGAAGAGACCCCCCCCGAAATGAGACCCCCCTCCCTTTATTACGAAATCTGGAGTAGGGGATCGACTACAACACTGATCTGCCCCAACATTCACTTTCTCCTCGAGTATACGAGCTTGCACGCATCGTGCTCCGCAGATCTACGGGCACTCTGCGCACGTTCCGCAGCTGCGGCGAACAGGTCAGTGTTGGGGTGCGTCGGTTCTGTAGTCGATCCCCTACTCGAGCTTTCGAGGTCTCGCAACTTCGCGCACCGACCCCGCGATGCGCGGTCCTCCTCGCGCCCGCTCGCCGCCCTCTTGGGAGAGGCAGCTGCCCTGTAGCACAGGCCGCGCCGCGCGCTGCCGCTGCCAGGGACGACCTGGACCTGCCACGCCGCGCCCCGACGGCGAGCCGGCCGAGCCGCAGAAGAGCGAGGCCCCACCTCCTCCTTCTCCTCGTCCTCCTCGTCCTCCTCCTCGTCCTCCCCCTCCTCCTCCTCCTCCTTCTCCTCCCCCTCCTCCTCCTCGTCCTCCTCGTCCTCCTCCCCCTCCTCCTCCTCCTCCTTCTCCTCGTCCTCCTCCTCCTTCTCCTCGTCCTCCTCCTTCTCCTCGTCCTCCTCCTCCTGCATTCCTTTTCCTTATAAATGACTTCTCCCTGTCGCGCCGCGGGGCTAGTTTTCCTAGGGCGGGCCGGGCGTTTCGCCTGAGACTTCCTCACCACTTATGGCTCTGAAGCTTGAAAGTGGCAACGGTTTCACAGATGGAGGGCGGGTGGTTTTCAAAATGTGGCTCTCGCCTTGGCGCCTCGCACATTCGTTTATAAATTTACCAAGAGCTTCACGGATTGAGGGCGGGTGGTTTTCAACATGTGGCCCTCGCCCTAGCGACGCGCACATTCGTTGAAACATGTACACGAGCTTCACGGATTGAGGGCGGGTGGTTTTCAACATGTCGCTCTCGCCTTAGCGCTGCGCACATTCGTTTTTTTAGAAATTGCAAGTGTTTCACTGATTGAGAGCGGGTGGTTTTCGAAATGTGGCTCTCGCCTCAGCGCCGCGCACACTCGTTCGAAAAAATACACGAGTTTCACGGATTGAGGGCGGTTCCTTTTCAAAATGTGTCTCTCGCCTTAACGCCGCGCACAATCGTTTTAAACATTACAGGAGTTTCACTGATTCCAATGATCAACGTACCAGATATAGTGTTTTGGATTCAGGATTATGCGGGTGCCATGTTGATTCGCGGTGTCGAAGTCCCAAAAATGGCGTTCTGTCACGACTCCGGATCGTCAGTACGCAGCAGTCAGGTTGATCCGTGGCGTTAAAATCCCGAGAACAATGTTCGCATGCTTCAGGGTCTTCAAACGGTTGTCTTCCAACGAGGCAGTTCCTTCAATGGAAATGAGCCGTTGTAGGGGCCTATGAAGAGGGATCTTGGAGGGAGGGTTCATTCCAACATCGTTGATGACTCTTGGGTTTACACTGGTCCTCCTCCTCCTCCTCCTCCTCCTCCTCCTCCTCCTCCTCCTCCTCCTCCTCCTCCTCCCCCTCCCTCTGTGCGCCGCCGAGCTGCGGGCGCCGCCTGGGCGATGACGACCTGCTGCGAGAACTTCGCGAGCTCCTTCTCCGCCTTCTCCACCGCGTCCGCCGAGCCTGGTCGCGGGGCTGGGCCGACCCGGCGGGGGGCAGCACAGCCTCGTTCGCCCGAGGCGTCTCCCCCTTCTCCAGGGGGGCCTGGGGCACACAAAAGAATGGGCACACCTCCCAGGACTGCCCGCCTTCTCCCACCTGTTCTGGAGTCTCGCCTCCCCCCCCCCGCCCCCACTTCCCATAGCTTTCCCTACTCTCGTGGGAATCGAAGATTCCCTGTGTCTGTGTCCTCTCCTCCTGACTTCTCCTGGCGGTGGCGTCATCCCCCCCCCCCCCCCTTGTGAGCCTCGTGAAGAGGGCCGCGGCAGGGCTCAAGAGGAGAACGGACAGCACGGGGAGCCACCCCGCCAGGTGGTGGTTGTCTTGCCACGTCATGGCGCTCTTGGCCCATATGGCTCCCACCGTACTTAAGGACCACCTCCCGAAAAAGCAACTTCGTGCACCCAGACAGGTATCGAAACGGTGTGGAACGGGCATCGCCTTCCAGGGTCCTCTAGTTTCGGCACTGCCTTTTTCTCATCGAGATTCTCTCTGGTGGTCAAGGTTGAAGTTAGGCTGGAACATCAGAACTCTTAGCATGGAGTGGGCCGCTCCCAATGAACCTGGCGTTGAGAGCACAAGGACATCGTCTTTCAGCAGTTTCTGGTCTCTGGAGCATCTCCCTACCACGGTACTGGCTTGATTGGTCTTCTGCTTTGCTCTCAACCTGTATCGTGCCTCCTGATAACAGTTGCGGAAGCATCGTCCTGCTGAGCGCAGTATTGTAATTGTCTGATGTCGTGTGCTCTGTGCATGCAACTTTGTGGTCATTGCGATACCTTCTGTTAGCACTATGGTTTGGGAGTGGTTCGTGTCTCTCGCTCTCTCTCTCTCTCTCTGTTTCTCTAAGCCCCATTGAGAGCACAACAACTTCTGAATTCAACAATTGGTACGTTGTTCTTCGGGATTCTCAGGACTACCACGGCACTTTCTTGAATGGGTATTGGATTCGCTGCGCTGGTGGCGAGTCTTGAGAACGAGGAGGCCGCCCCGAGACTCCAAACCAGTGATTCCGGACGGCTTGCTTATTCCGTGCCGTTCGCCAAATGTTCACCAGGGGTAGTCGAAGCCAATCTGGCGCCAATCTGGCAGGCCCAATCTGGCAAACGGGGGCAATCTGGCGAGGGAGCCAGCGCGAATCCAGTCTGGCGAAGAACCCAACTCACCCAGGTTGGCCAGGCCAGATTGGCCCGTGGGGCCCAATCCAATCTGACAGTCTGGCCTTCGACTACCCAGTCAGAGCTCTACCGTTATGTCGGGCGTGTCCCCCTACAGGGGGATTTTCGACGAAAAATGGAAAGTACCCTCAAACAATGCCCCCAAAAGGTCAAACAATACTCCCAAACATTGTCCCCAGACCATTTGTGGATTATTTTTTTTACTATTCTGGTGGTACTTTTTATCTTTCGTCGAACATCCCCCTGTAGGGGGAAGTACCCAGATTTCTCTGGAATGAGAGCGGAGCGCGACCGTCAGCACTCGACTCGGCACGGCGACGAGCACGCCAACTCACTTTGGTCCTTCCTCCACCCTTTTGTGATCCTTCTGATGCTCCTCCTGCGCCTCCACATCCTCCTCCTCCTCGCCCCTCCTCCTCCTCCTCCTCCTCTCTCCTCCTCCTCCTCCTCCTCCTCCTCTCCTCCTCCTCCTCCTCCTCCTCCTCCTCCTCCTCCTCCTCCTCCTCTGCCTCCAACTCAGCCGCCGATTACCTCCGCTGTTCCCCACCAGCCCTCCATCATCCGCATCGTCGTCGTCGTCCTCCTCCTCCTCTTCCCCCCAGTTCCTCCTCCTCCTCCTCCTCCTCCTCCTCCACGTCCTCCTCCTCCACATCCTCCATCAACATCCTCCATTTCTTTGTCCTCAAACTCTTCCCTCCCCTCTGCTACTTCTCATTATCACGCTCCCTCCGTATCTCTCTCCTCGTTCTCATCTAGCTGCTCTTCCTCATCCCGCTGCTCCCCCCTCCATCCGCCGCCCAGCCTATCCTGCTCCTTCTGCTCCTTCTGCTCCTCCTCCTCCTTTTCCTCTTCCCCGTCCTCCTCCTCCTCCTCCTCCTCCTCCTCCTCCTCCTCGTCAGCATCATCATCATCATCATCATCATCATCATCATCATCATCATCATCATCATCATCATCATCATCATCGTCATCGTCATCGTCATCGTCATCGT